GAATATAATGCTTTCATGTGCATCTCAAACTGGGCATCTTGTCAGGGTATAAATATGAGGGTACTTTATAATTAACTGGGTTTTGGGACAATACAATTCAACATTAATATGCTGCTGTTGTGTGTTTGTTGCATCACGTCATCACGTACCATATTTCAATATTTGTTTGTCAATTCATATTGTAAAACACTATTGTAAAAGTTCATATATATATATATATATATCAAAACCGTAAAAAGGGAAAGTGATCTTTCTGGTACTTCATTGTGTCACAACTCACAAATCAATGTTAGTTTCTTTCTACTCAACCAATTCCATATGTACATCATTGCTCTTACCATGCCCATGGACCATGCTTTTACACATGACTTGGTATTTTGGGTGCATTTAATGAAAAAAGACACTCTTATAGCAAATTGTTTTTACACTATTTAATGTATTGCGATTGGCATTTTGAGATCGAGCAATCAGACATTTACAAATTAAGGTGTCCATTCGTTATTGCTGTATAAGCTACTTACACCACATACTACTACTACTAGTTACACCACAGAGATACCAGCACATAGCTCACATGCATACAGCGGAAATTCAGACCTCAACACAAAATATTAATCACTTGTGCAGTTAATACTCCTATACACCTGGACATGCGTTGCCAGGATTCTACAGCTAATTCAAGCTGAACGCATGTACATTTTTTGTACTGTTTCTGAATTTTGAAACTTGCTTAGCAAGGGAACTGAAATAATAATAATAATAGTTCGTCCTTATATTGTGCATTTCAGGACCGCAGGCCCTCTAATGTGCTTTACAGATATTTATTATTACTCCGGTCATCGGATTCATATGCTTACCCGCACACAATGTATGCACATTCTCCTCTCCCTGGGGAGCATGTCAGCCAGTCGCCATTTTACAAGCGCCACTTGCTTTTTTTTTTCATTGAAATTATATTTGTGTTTGTATGCATCTTATTCAATGTACTTAAAAATGTATAATCATGTAAAATGAAGAAATATTTGTTACTTTATGTATATGATTATGTTTCATTTTGAAAATGCAGAAATAAAAATAAACAAACAAACCTGGGTGGAGAATGGCAAAATTAAATGTAGATCAATGTCTTGGGACTTGAACCGCAGACCTTGTGTTCCACAGTCCGCTGACATATCCACACGACCCCAACATTTGTTCTGTCATAGTGGCATCATTTGTTCTGTCATAGTGGCATCAGTATGATGCCACTATGACAGAACAAATGTTGTGGTCGTGTGAGTATTACTCAGATGGAACAATATCTGTGATATATATACCTTGGTCATCTATTGCATTCAGCATTGGAAAGTATTCAGGACTTTTTGTTGACAAACACAAGAAATCGACGACGATCGAACATATAGCTACAAACTTGGCATAAAGTCATTCATCTATACATTTGCCATTCATGACCTTAGTGCCTTATTGACTAGATTTATATTTCATTTACTGTTGAGCACCAATCAGCCTGAACCAGGGCTAACCTCATCTGCAAGTCAGACAAACGAAACTACATACAGTAGCTTTTAGTTCATGTTATAGTACTTGGTACTTGGTACTTGGTAGGATTCAGCGCTCAAAATACACGATTCGCCCCCGTGAGCTACATAATCGCCCCGTCGGGTTGCTCACGGGGGCGATTGCAAAATTAAAAATCGCCCCCGTGGAATTATAAAATAAAGATTTTCTTTTCTGTTATAACTTTAACACAATATTGAATTTCAATTTTCAAATGAAATGGAACTTAGATTAGCGTGCAAGATTTCTTGTTTTATGAGTAGGCCTATTATTACCGATTCAGCTCACAGTGCAGTGCCGCCGTCAGCATTGGTTATAGGCCTACTGCGCCCTTAGTAGCGGTACGTGTCACGCTGCCGCGCTATGTCTGCTGGAGCTGGAGGCGATCGCGCAAGGGCAGAAACATGTTCATGGAGAAGTTTTTCGTTGTGAAAGCGTTAACCCGCTGAAATCTGGTGATTTCAAATGACTAGCAAATAATGAACCTCGACCAGTAAATCAATATTAGGGACCATTAGATTTGCACGATGGGAACGTGGACTGAAACGTGTGACCTCCTTTTAAGGCAGTGCCAGTGCTTAAAAGGACGTGACATGTGACTGCCAGTGCCTTAAAGGGAAAGTCCACCCCCAAAATAAGTTTGTTTCGATAGAGGCAGAATAATAAGAAAATCAGGTGAGTGGAAGTTTGAGCAAATTCTGAATGAAAATAAGAAAGTTATGAATTATTGAAGTTGTTCAATCAAATACAAATTGGCAACTCTGTGACTTATCATACGAGCTCTCCTTCATTTGCTTTGTGCATAATATTCCATAAAATCATGTTTTCTTCGTTATTGATGACGGAATATATATTTGTTCCTTGCAGGGGGAGTATAGAAACATATTTGCAATTATTATATTTAGGGTGCATGTATGGTTGAAATTTTTCTTGAGGGAAAATGAAAATTTTAGATTTTTTTAGTACTGAGCAAATGGAAGTTGAGCTCGCATGATACGTCATAGAGTTGCCAATTTGTGTTTGATTGATCACAACTTCAAAAATCCTAACTTCCTTATTTTTAATCGGAATTTGCTCAAACTTTCACTGACTTGTTTCTCTCATTTTTCTACTCCTATTAAAACTAACTCAATTTCAGGGTGGACTTCCCCTTTAAAAGGACGTAACACGTCCACGTCCACGCAAATCTAAAAGTCCCTATTGAGAAGAAGAGGAAGACCAAGATGTCGTGGAATGATATGATAACATGGACAGATCTACGGGGGGGGGGGTTAGGGGTTTAACCCCCTCCTCCCACCCCGGCCCCCTTGGGCTGCCAAGTGAAAATGTGATATTAAAGCGGGGGGGGGGGATGCTGGAGAGGAGGACTACTAATCTAATTATTTTTTTCATGGGGGGGGGGGGAGTGAAGCGCCGTTTTAGCATGACTTTCTTTTAACTCTTACTTTCAGATAACCCTAAGTTTTTGGTTGCTGCTTTATATGTAGTTGATAATGCATGATTAAAGTAAAGAGAGAGAGAGAGAGAGAACCACCATCATTTTGCAATGGTTCAGGGTTTGTGTAATGTACATTTGAAACCATTTCTTAGCGTCTCAACCCTAACAAAATGGCAAAACTATTTTTGAGGAAAAGCATTATACTGAATTAAATAAAGAATAATAGCTTTATATTGCATCATACTAATACTGATACGGGCTAAAACAATGTGGTATTTGTATAGAGGTATTCCAAAATGACATTCTGATAATCAACATTTGTTCTGGTATCATAATGTATATACGCATAATACAACTGATCTTTATGATTTCTTAACGTGACATAGCTTCTTTTTCCCCTGCAAACAAAAAAGAAAACAAGGATATTTAATAAAGGATCATGAGACAAATAATCATTGTGATTCAAATTGATGCAAGGATTTTTTTGAATAAGCAATGCTTTTCACCAGAATCTTCTTTGTAAAAACGACTTTTACAAATCTCAGCCATGCAAATCTGCCACTGTGTTGTAAGATCACTTTCAGATTAGGAGAAGTGTATTCTTTAATGAGTATTTTACATTGAATGGAACGTCTCAACTCAGTAAGCATGGCTGAGATTTGTAAAAGTTGTTTTTACAAAGAAGATTCGGGTGAATAGTAGTGCTTATTCAAACAAATATTCGCATCAATTTGAATCACAATCATTATTTGTCGCTTAATCCCTTTTAATGACCTTGTTTTCTTTCTCGTTTGCAAGGGGAGAAGAAGATATGTCACGTTAAAGACATCATAAAGATCAGTGTTGTATGCGTATACACAGGCCAGTAACAGCTATGTAGCTTGTAAATTTGTAAGAGGGAAAATGCTGATTGGAATGATAATGATGAAATAGCAAATAATTGAGGAGTATCATAGGTACCAATTCAATGGATATTTGTATAAAAAAGAGCCCCCGTCAGTACTAAAAGAGCCCCCGTGAGAAGGCTCACGGGGGCTCTTTTTTTGGGGGAAGAGCCCCCGTGGACAAAAAAATAATTTGAGCCCTGGTAGGATTCCTCCAAAAGACGCCGTAAAGGTGTTTAAACTGGAGGTGTAGAATACATAGAGAAGGACAAGGAAAACAAGGACAAAATAAGACCTAAGACCCCCCCCCCCCCCAACAGAGTAGTCCTTCCTTTTGTTAACACTATCCTCCTGCTCGAAACCAGCATTCCAAGACAAGAATATTATTGTTGCCTTCAGAAGCCCTAACACTCTAGGAAGTAGGTTGGTCCATCCAAAAAGAACTTATTAGGCGGGCAATCGAAGCAGGATAATGTTTAATAATAATAATAATACTCAGTTTTTATATAGCGCTTATTAGAATCACTAAGCGCTTCCAAACTTGGAGATTATTACCCCGGCTTTAGCTGTGCTGCCATTGCTTCCACGTATGTTGACTAGGTTCTGAGCTTGAAGACTAATTGAGGCAGGCCTCGATCTATATCCTCATGGTTGACCGTGCATGATTGCGTCGTAAACAAAACAAGCATTTCCGAACATAATAATCTGCCTTTTGTCAAGTAACTGTAAATTATTGATCGAAAATGATCGTCTTGACCAGAGGGATAACAAACGTATTTGTTTGGTTTTAGAAGTTGGTTTACGAAACGTGAATCGAAATATACCATGGAGTCCATGCATGGACTCTTGAGCGTCGTAAATTAGTGCCGACAAAATATGTCTGACTTTGAATTTAGGCGAACCATAATTTATTAATTATTATTTACCATGCCTTTACTTGACTCATCTGCAATAAATGAGCATCTACACAAATCATTTTGGGAATCGGCATTAATTCTATGTTTCCGAAATTTGATCACAGCGTGTAACATTTTTTTAATCATTTGTTATGAAAATGGAAAAAATGAAAACAGTGATGTATAACCTCTGTCACTTTCAACTCATCAAGCAAATCAACTTACCCGTTTCGATAGCTGACGTTTTAAATTCCTCCTGCAAGGGACCAAATAGCAATGGATAACTATGAATATTTCCCCACGATACGAAGTAAACAACGGCTAGAGAAACTGTCACAATCCATTTCCACTGTCGCCGATACCTATCCGGCAGGATGGCTGGGCAGGAGAGCCTCTCCCACCAGCTGCAAGTGCAAGACATAGTATACTGCAAGCTAGCGAGCTGTTGTTGTGTGTCCGAGAAATGCACTGCACTATATCCAGCAGGATCGATAGTCGTGAAGCAGTTCAAGCAGCAGTGAAAATATTAAAAACAAGCAATCTGGAGCGAAGGTTGAACGGACCAGGGAGGTGCACTGTTTGGCTAGCTCACTATAGATACAGCGATAAGGGAATTGTGACCCATATTGTTTTCTCTTTCTTTCCTTTTTAATACTCCGTGCATATCCATATCGACGAGCGCTCGTTTACGGCGGTCACCGTCGAGCTTATCGTCTGCTTACCCAAACACGGTAGTCACGACTGTAGATCACAATGCATTATGATTCTACATGACTTTAGTTCACAATGCATTATGCGAGTCCGTTAGTGCGCGTGTATGGCGCGCCATATGCCCAATAACCCGAAAACCTTGTTTATCGCCGATAAACAAGGTTTATCGATAAACCTTGTTTTTCGATAAACCTTGTTTATCGATAAACCTTGTTTATCGAGGGAAACTGTGTTTATCAGTCGATATACAGAGTTTCTCACGATTAACAAGGTTAATCGCTCGATAAACCTTGTTTTTCGCTCGATAAACCTTGTTTTTCGTCTTGTTTATCGGCGTTAAACAATGTTTTTCGGGGTTATTGGGCATATGGCGCGCCATACGCGTGTCTATATTTTTTTTTCTTTTTACCTCTTCAGAGGGACTTTATTGTTCCATTTCAAAATACATATATATTATTTACAAAACCAGTAAAATGAAACATGAATTATATACAAGATCAACATAATATCTTAAAATGATCATTTTAACATTTCTAATACTTTCTTAACTTCTTCAATATCGAAGTATTTTATATTTTCTTTGTATTTCAAATAACATTTTAATGATGAAATAAAATTATTTATTAACCTCTTTGGATTGGTTGGTACTTCTCCAAAGTTCCGCTTTACGTAGTCTTTGTATATAACTAGTTGAGCATAATTTATCCAAAAATTAAGTAAAGTATATTTTCTGTTATCTATTTTATATCCAATCAATAACATTTTCATATCAATTTCAATTTCTATTTTAAAAATGAAATATATAATTCTTGAGATAATTTTCCAGAAACTCTTAATTTCTTGCAACGAAATATAAAATGTTCAATAGTTTCTTTTTCGTTAGACTGTACGATTTTCCATATAAAGAGATTGTCTTTAGATGGCAATATTCTATGAATTAATTTAAAATTATATTGTTTGATCTTATTGTCTCTTATGTTATTAAATTTGAACTGAAATACATCTTTCCAAATAAATGTTTCTGGTAGGCCTAAAATATTTTGCCAAAAATGGAAACCAATTTTCTCTTTTTTCTTTTCTAGCATTAAATTATAATAACTTTTCGCCGTAGTAAATTCAACGTTTATAACGTCTAAAGTTGTCTCAATGTACATTGTTTCATTGAGACTTGGTGCGCGTGTCTATATACCCAAGTGATGCTGATCGCTGGTTGCGGATGATTGCGACTCTCTTCTTATTTTGCTAATCTCCTGGTTGAATCAATATAATAGATGACTGTGTGCGTTGGTTGTTTGACGATGTATGCACTTACTGCATTCTCTGTGAGATAGATTTCGTCACAAAACCATAATCATAATAAGAAAGACGAATAAATATCTTATCTTATCTTATCTTGATATAAGGAAATGTTAACGATAAGTTAGTTGAGATATGACATTACTAGACTTTGACTGCATGTGAAATTGATTTTCGCTGGGATATTCGGGATAAAATCACATTGTGAGATTGCTTTTGTAACAAAACCCGGGGACAAAACCAATCATTTGGAGTGATTTTTGTGAGGGAATCACATGTGTCACATGCTTGACAGGGGATGTTTCGGCTGAGATAAAGGGAAGTCCACCCTGCATGGCATTAAATTGGTTTTAATAGAAGCAGAAAAATTAGAGAAACAAATCAAACAATGCAGTGACAGTTTGAGAAACATCGGACAAAAAATAAGAACATGACACGTGATTGGCAAAGCGGTCAGAAATTGTGATGTCACCCCCTCAAAATTGTCCACTGATCTGAATGATGACAAAATGACCTCAAATCTCCATTTCTCTGAATGTAAATGGAACAGTAGGCCCATTTTATATAGGGGTGCATGAAAGAACATGTAATCCGTGGTATATGATCGACATATAAGCATTAAGAAAAAATACATTTTAGATCAAAAAGGAATTTAATGACATTTCTTGCAATCAACAAAGGATAAAAATGTGAGAAGGTGATATCAAGAGAGCGCATTGCCATTTTGACTCACAGAGTTGAAGTATTTCATGAAAAGTTATATGTGGATTTAAACAATCCATAACTTTCTTATTTATTGTTCGATTTTTCTCAAAGCTTCACTGATCTGTTCTTCTGATTTTTTCTCCTTGTTTTATACAAACTTATTATCAGGGTTGACTTCCCCTGGCGGTGATCTGATTCCTTGTCCGAGATAACTTATCTGTTATCTCGCCCTCCTATACTTATTATTGCAGTATATTGTTCTAACCTAACGAGCAGGGAAATTATTATTTACATCTCTCTCTCTTTCTCTCTCCTCTTTCTTTGTTTTCTAACCCATATCTCTCTCTCTCTCTCTCTCTCTCTCCCTCACTCCCTCTCTCTCTCTCTCTCTTTCTCTTTCTCTACCTCTCTCTCCCTCTCTCTGTCTCTGTCTCTGTCTGTCTGTCTGTCTCTCTCTTTCTGTCTCTATCTCTCTCCCTCTCTCTCTTTCTTCCCCCCCCCCCACTCTAGTGGCGGAGCCAAGATTCTGTGGCCGAGGAGGGGCCTTATTTTGAAAACTCTCCGACAAGAATAAAATATTGTTATGTGCATCTTCAATCAATCTTCGATTGTGGCTGCCTCGGTTCACAACTAGCAAACCAAAGAGTTTCATTCGACAATTACACGAACACCCTAAAGTTGTTATTCCCAAGATTGAAATGACGCGGTATATTACGAAGATCCAGTTAAAGTTCACGAACTGTCGTTCAAGTATTCACTGGTCATAGTCACCAAATCTTCGGATAACAATCTGTAACACAACAGGAAGAGAAGCAAACTACATAGGCCCGAATTCACAAAGCAAGGTTTGAGCTCAGACCAAGGTTTGTACAAACCTTGGTCTGATCAAACCGGGTTTGTCCTCAGACCTCCGTTGTGAATTCGGGCCTATAATGTTCATACTTATGAGACATGTGCATCATATAAAAATAGCTTAAAGATAAACTTTAGTACTGGTAATGTGATTGCATTGTGAAAGAAAAGGTGTGGAAAGGATCAGAAACAGTTGATCATGTAGCATGTAAGTATTGGTGAGCACTGCAAGGTTCTGGAGTCATCAAATCATAATAAATTTGACCGATTCTTGGTAAAGTAACAAGCACTCACATGATATATGGGACAACACACATGGTGTCGGGGCTAGTACCTTGATTTCCTTGTCTTTCTATGCTCATTACTCAGCCAGTATACATTTTCTTCCAAAATTGTTTGGCACATGTCATTTATTTGTAATCTTGAACATTCAGTGACAGTTTCGTTTGATTCTGTGAGAATTTTTTTTTTTTTTTTACCAGTACTGGAGTTTTATCTTTAATATGAAAGTGATTGAACCTATAACTTAAACTGTGATAATACAAAACTGTCTCTTTGTTTCATAAGCAACGAGTTATAACCTTAGGCTAGACCAGGGATCTGGCTAGACAATGAAAATATAAGTCAACTTGAATGGATGCCGGGAATGGATGTAATTAACTAATTATTATGCAGTCTATTTACATATAATACTGCAACAAAACAACTTCAAAGTACAAGTATAAAGAATAATATCCTAATAGCCAAGACAGTACATTATAATGCAGTCATAACCACACAGTGACATTGTAACAAAAATGCATAGAGAGCTGAAGGAGAGAGAGAGAGAGAGAGAGAGAGAGAGAGAGAGAGAGAGAGGCTGAGAGCAGAGAGGCATAGCGATATGAGAGGGATAATCTAGTACAATGCACGCATCTCATAAGTACAATGGAAGAGCACACATAACTTTCCTTGCCTTCCAAGTTCCAAAACTCTGTATTTATAACAAACAACAATTATTCTCTCATAAGCTTACACTACTTCATAAAACAATTCAACATTAACTGCCACTATTATATTAAGTGATTTCTTACCAATTCGGGTCTGTAAAACAGGCGCGGATCCAGGATTTTCCAATAGGGGGGGCCGGAAGTTTGAAAATTGCGCCGACCGTTTTTTTCAAGGTCATATTAGAAGCACCATACCATTACAATTTTTGACATTTTCATCGGGGGGGGGGGGGGGGGCTATAGCCTCTTATCCGAAAAGTACTTTCTGGTTTCACAATTCGGCTAGTGAGCGAAGCGAGCGAGCAGCAACAATTTGTGCAAAATATGTATTTTGTGAAAGTGTTATTTATAACCCAAATAAACGAGAAAAGATGTCAAAAATCATATGCGGGTAGCTCGCTAACCCCCCCCCCCCCCCCCCAATGACGCGCGAAGCGCGGAAGCTTTGACCTTTCATTAATTATTAGAGAAAGAAGACGATTTGTTGTACCATTCTCGACTCTTAATCCTTCTCTGAATTCAGTTTTCCCCCTCCCGCGCAAAGCGCGGAAGCTTTGACATCTTATAGTTTAATGAAATTATTAGAGAAAAATATGATTCGTTGTTCCATTCTCGACTCTAATCCTTCTCTGAATTCAGTTTACCCCCTCCCGCGCAAAGCGCAGAAGCTTAACGTTTCATTAAATTATTAGAGAAAGAAGACGATTTGTTGTACCATCCTCGACTCTATTACTTGACTGAATTCACCCCCCCCCCCCTCCCGCGCGAAGCACGGAAGCTTTGGCCTTTCATAGTTTAATGAAATTATTAGAGAAAGGAGATGATTCGTTGTTCCATTCTCGACTCTTAATCCTTGTCTAGATTCAGTTCCCCTCCCCCCCCCCCCCTCCCGCGCGAAGCGCGGAATCTTAGACGTTCATTAAATTATAAGAGAAAGAAGACGATTCGTTGATACCATTCTCGACTCTTAATCCTTGGGTGTATTCAGTTTCCTCCTGCCCGCGCAAAGCGCGGAAGCTTTGCCCTTTCATTAATTATTATAGAAAGAAGATTTGTTGCACCATTCTCGACTCTTATTACTTGACTGAATTCACCCCCCCCCTCCCGCGCGTAGCACGGAAGCTTTGGCCTTTCATAGTTTAATGAAATTATTAGAGAAAGAAGATGATTCGTTGTACCGTCATCGACTCTTAATCCTTGTCTGAATTAAGTTCCCGTCCCCCCCCTCCCACGCGTAGTGCTGAAGCTTTG